GAAGTCATGATTTTGGACCCATTCCCATTCCCCATGACCGGTGTTTCACCCATTCCCCACTCCCCATGAGTTCTCATACCCATTCCCATTCCCATTCCCCATGAGTGCTCATTCCCAGTCCCATGAGTTCTCACTCCCCACTCCCCACCGGATTCCCATTCCCCATGAGTTCTCCACCCATTCCCCAGGACCGGTGTTTCATCCAGGGTCGTTCTTGGAGGATCCAGAGGCCCAGGGAGGGCCTTCCGAGGCCGAACGTTGCAGAGAAACCTTCCGTCGCGATCCTTTCGAAACGCGAGGGGCTCGGGGGGGAGGAGGAGGTGCCTCCAGCAACAGCCTATCCGCCCCCTGGCGGTGCCCCAGATCCATCACCTTCCTGCCGCCCATCCGCCCGCTGGCGCGCTGGCCGCCAGCGCGTGCGGCGAGGACGAGCGCAGCTCGTCGCGGCGGCGGCCGCCGCCGCCGCCGACGACGACGATGATGCCGACGACGACGACGCCGCCACCGCCGCCGCGCCCACGACGACGACGACGAGGACCACCACGACGACGACGACGACGACGACCACCACGACGACGACGACGACGACGACGACGACCACGACGATGACGACCGTCGTCGCGGCGTTCGTCCGCGGCGGCGTCGCTGTCGGAGCGCCGGTCGTCGCCGTCGTCGACGCGACGGCTGCCGCCGCCGCGGCGGCGCCGGCGGCCTGGAGGGCCTCCGCGGCGCTGCCCTCGGGCGGGAGGAGCGCGGGGGGCCTGCCGCCCGGCGGAGCGCGGGGGCCCGGGGGGGAGCGCGGCGTCGCGGCCCCCGCGCGGGAGGCAACCGGGCGACGAGCAGCGGCGGGCGGCGGACGGCGGACGAGGGGCGACGGCGGCGACGGACGACGACGACCACGACGGAGACGGACGACGGCCGACGGCGGCGACGGACGACGGCGGCGACGGACGACGGACGACAGACAATGAACGACGGGCGACAACGACGACAACGACGACGACGACGACGACCACGACGAGGACGGACGGCGGAACGCCTGGGAGGTCGTCGTGGAATCGGTGGAGTAAGGGCGGGCGCGCCAAATTGAGAGGCCATTGGGCCAGATCATCCCACACGAAGCCCAGGAAGAAGCCTGACTCAGAGGGCGAAGCTGGATAGGGCGGGATGAGGGCGCGTTTCACTACTCGCGGCGATGACGGGTGTTTTTTTTTGGAGGGGATACCGTAACGCCCCCCCCCCCCGCCGTGCGGACCCGGCGCCACCACAGCGTCCGCGCGCGCGACCACGACGAGCGACAACGGCGACGACGGCCACCACGACGACGACGACGAACGACCACGACGACAAGCGACCACGACGACGACGACGACGAGCGACCACGACGACAAGCGACCACGACGACGACGGCGACGACAAGCGACCACGACGACGACGACAAGCGACCACGACGACAAGCGACCACGACGACAAGCGACCACGACGACTACGGCGACGACGACGAGCGACGACGACGACGACGACGCCGACGACGACGACGACGAGCGACGAGCGACGACGACGACGGCGACGACGACGAGCGACGCCTCCGGAGGTCTCCTGAAGTTTCCCGAGGCCTCCGGAGGCCTCCTGAGGCCTCTGGAAGATACCAGGGGCCTTCCGGATGTCATCCGAAGGCCGCCAGAGGCCCTCGAAAGCAGTCGAAGGCGTTTGACAACGACGTGCGACCGCGAGCGATGACAGCCGACGGCAATTACGACAACGACGAAGGTGACGGCGACGACGACGACGACGACGAGACAACGACTGACAACGAAGAGCGATCACGACGACGACGAAGACGACGACGACGACGACGTCGACGACGACGACGACGGCGAGCGACGACGACGACGACGACGACAGACAACGAGGAGTTGTGGCGAGCACATGCCTGCGAAGGCGTCGGTGGCTCCACCTCACTCCTCCATCCTCACTACTAAGAGGTATGCTCCTTACCTCACTCCTCCTCCTCCTCCTCCTCCTCCTCCTCCTCGTCCTCCTCCTCCTCCTCCTCCTCCTCCTCCTCGTCGTCGTCGTCGTCGTCGTCGTCATCCCTCTCCTCCTATTGCTCTCTCTCTCTCTCTCTCTCTCTCTCTCTCTCTTTCCTACGAACACCACAAGTACCCCTGAGAGCACCGCCACTTGCCCGCGACCACCGCCACTATGTGGATCTCTATGCGGATTCCTATGAGGACACCTCTGGGGATCCCTATGCGCATCCCTATGCGGATCTCTATGCGGATCCCTATGTGGATGCCTATGCGAATCGCCATGCGGATCCCTATGCGGATCCCTATGCGGACGCCTCTGGGGATCCCTACGCGGACCCCCACGCGGATTCCTGTGCGGATCCCTATGCAGATCCCTATGCGGACTTCTGGAAGGAACCCTGGGCATCCCGATGCGGATCCCTATGCGGAGTTCTGTGCGGATTCCTATGCGACTCCCTGTTCGGGTTCGTGTGCGGATCCCTGTGCGCACGGCGGCAATTCCGGGGGCGCGCTGGGGGCCGGAGCGTTACGTTGTAGGCGGAGGGGCGGAGGGGCCATAACGCGCGTTGTGGCACAAGCAGTGATGAAGCATGCTCTTATGAGAGACTACTTAGGCAAGTCTCCGACCAAGGATCCACCAGCGCCGATGCTGAGTGAATCCCCCTCCTCCTCCTCCTCCTCCTCCTCCTCCTCCTCCTCCTCCTGCTCCTCCTCCTCCTGCTCCTGCTCCTCCTGCTCCTGCTCCTGCTCCTGCTCCTGCTCCTGCTCCTCCTCCTCCTCCTCCTCCTCCTCCTCCTCCTCTCTTCCTCCTCCTCAATAGGCTCCTCCTCCTCCTCCTCCTCCTCCTCCTCCTCCTCCTCCTCCTCCTCCTCCTCCTCCTCCTCCTCCTCCTCCTCCTCCCCAATAGGCTCCTCCTCGTCCTCCTCCTCCTCCTCCTTCACCTCCCCTCCCCCCCGACGGCAACCGACGGCCACGGCCACGACGACGACGACGACGACGACGGCCTCTGAGATCCGACGCTGCGGAAAACGCAACCATGCGGAAAATGACAGCTGAAGCCACTGGAGCCCAGCGCTCTGCGGCACTTCTTCCAGCCGCATCGGCTTGTGCCGGCCCCAGGGCTCGAAGGCGCCGTGGCGGCAAAACTGCGACGTCCGATCCGCCTGCTGCAAGTTTCGAGCCGTATCGGTGTGTGTGTGTGTGACGCTCCTGGGGCGTGACATCGGGCGAGAACGCATGGTGTGGCACAAATCGGGGATGGACAGACCCCCCTTTAGTAAAACGCGGCTCAGTGAGAACGACCTGAGGTCCAAACCTGGCGGGCGCAGGCCTGGATGATGACGGCTACGGCGCCCTCTCGAGAACCGAAAACGGACAGTTCACCAATCGACAATCGACGTGTCACTGCTGGGGGTTCTGCCCACCCCCGAGCAAACTGCAAGGCCCGGATTGCAGTCCAGGGCGTCAAGGATCGGGGAGACGTAAGACCCGGGTACGGGGGACTCGGAAATCCCCGACGAGGTCGTCAAAAAAATGACGAGGCCGAGCCTGCATTTTGACGAGGCCTCCCGCTGCAGACATCCCACGAAACTCCTCCTCGTCAAAATCCGAGGCGCGGTCGTCAAAAAACGACGGCGAACCCGAGTCCTGGCAAACCCGGGTCTTACGCTCCCCCGAAAGGAGGGGTCGTCCAAGAGGGGGGCTCGCAAATCATGGCCCGAGGCACGTGCGCGGCCCAGAGGGGACGTGTTGAAATCCGCCGATCCGGCGTGTGAGTTTCCGAGAGCGTGGACTTGAGCTCGCTCAAGCTTCGCTCTGCAGGGGGGGGGGGGGCGTACGATATTTCCGACGTCATTTCCGACGTTTCTCGGTACCCAGGGACAGGGGGGTACAGGAAACTCCGCTGACGGAGCCCCCCCGGATCGGCGGCACTGGCCGGGGGCCAGACCATAAGAAGAGGCGCCATATCTGGAGGGATCACATGGCCTTGGCCATGATATCCACCCACTCTACCCAAACCCCCGACGTCGTGACTTCTCCAAAACGTCGACCCCCAGAGGTCTGAACTCTTTTCTGTTCTGGGGACCGGTTTTTCATCCCGCGTCGTTTCTGTTGACGGTCCAGGGGCCCCAGCGAGGGCCCCTGGAGGCCGAACAAAAACTCAAAAAAAACTCCCGCCGTGATTTCTCCCCACTGCGAGGAGGTCGTGGTGCGCAGCCATGCCCCCCGTCCCGTCTGAGCCGCCCCCGATGCTCAGGAGCGGCGGCAGACTGCGGCACTCTGCCTGTGGATCCCGAGCGCGCGGTCCATGGCCCGCCGCAGCCCGGCGACGGAGCCGTGCCGCAGGTGGCTCGCGGCCAGCGCCCGCAGCAGCCACGGGCTCCGGGGCCTGGAGCGGAGGGGGCGCCCGTTGCAGAAGTGGCGGCCTCAAAACAGGCTCGACGCTCCTCCTCCTCCTCCTCCTCCTCCTCCTCCTCCTCCACTTCCTCCTCCTCCTCCTCCTCCTCTTCCTACTCCTCCTCTTCCTCCTCCTCCTCCTCCTCCTCCTCCTCCTCCTCCTCCTCCTCCTCCTCCTCCTCCTCCCCCTCCTCCCCCTCCTCCTCCATTCGTTTTCCAATTCAATGACTCCGCCCTGTCGCGCCCCGAGGCTGGTCGAAAGGGCGGGCTGGGCGTTTCGTCAGAGGTTTCCTTACCAGTTACGATCACGAATCTTGAAGATTGGCAACAGTCTACAACATGGAGGGCGGGTGGTTTTCAAAATGTGGCTCTCGCCTCAGCGCCGCCCACATTCGTCTTGAAAATGGCAAGACTTTCACGGACTGAGGACGGTTCCTTTTCAACATGTGGCTCTCGCCTCAGCGCCGCGCGCGTTCGACCCACACATTTACAATCATTTCACGGATTGGGGGCGGGCCGTTTTCAATGTGTATCTCTCGCCTTAGCGCCGAGCGCACTCGTCTGAACAATTGGCAAACACTTCACGGACTGATCGCGGTTCCTTTAAGATGCGGCTCTCGCCTCAGCGCCCCGCACATTCGTCTCCAACAGGTGTCAGAGATTCACGGATTCCCATGGTCAGTGTGCCAGATACTCTGCTTTGACATGAGTCATCATTGGCAGGGCGCAAACATGACTTCCACTCGCGGTGTTGAAGTCCCAGGAACGGCGTTCTGGCAAAAGTCAAGATCGTCATGACGCATCAAGCAAATTGCATTGTGGAGATGGGGTTTCCAGAATGGTGCTCTGGCGCGCTCCAAGATCTTCCAATGGTTAACTCACAACGGGGCAGTTCCTTCAGTGGAAATGAATGTTGTAGGGTCCTATGAAAAAAAAGAGCTGGGAATGAGGGTGTATGCGACATCGTTGATGAGTCTTGTGTTTGCACTGGTCCTCCTCCTGCTCCTCCTCCTCCGCCTCCTCCTCCTCCGCCTCCGCCTTCAACTCACCAACGTATTGAACAAGTCAAAACATGCAAAGGTTTTTCCTAGCTGTTGGCCCCGGAGGCCCTCGCCATGCTCCAGAAACAAGGCAGGATGAAAAGCCGGTCCCGGGGAAAGGGTCGGGACTTCCAGGGACCACGCATTCAAAAGATCCATACCGACCCCTTGGGGCTCATGGGCGTGTGGGACGTTCGTCCCCACTGGGAGCCCGGTCCGGTCGATTCGGAGGGGGGGAGATCCCCGAGGACCGCTGGAACGCGCCACGGGGGTGCAGAGGTCCCCCAAAAAGGCCAAGAGGGCACCGCCGATACATCGGTCGAAAACGCCCACGCTGGCCTCCAGACAGCCCGAGGGGCCCCCAAGACGCCCCCAAAAACCCTCCATTCAGAGGCGTCCAAAAACGAGCTCAAAGAGCAAATATCGCTCAATTCCCAGGGGAAGCTTCCATTTTTCACACACTCGCCTCTTCTGCCATCACCCCGTCCAAGACAGCCCACGAAGCCTCCTGGGTCGCCCCAAGACGGCCCACGAGCCCCCCAAGAGGGATCTCAGACGACCAAAGAGGGCCCCAAGGCCGCTCAAAAAGCTACAGAAAACAGAATAAGAGGCCACCACAAGGCCCTCTGGACGGTCCAAAAGGGCCACGAGGCACCGAAAGATCGACCGAAAACGCTGGCCCCCCGACGCCCCAAGAGGTCCCAAAAAGGCACCAAGAAGCTCTCAAGACGCCCCAATACGGCCTCAAAGAGCACAAACCGCTCCACTGCCATGGGAACACCTGAGTTGTTGGCACATTCGCCTCTTCTGCGATCGCCACGTCCAAGACAGCTCAAGAAGCCCACAAGACGGCTCTGAGACGACCCACGAGGACCTCAAGACCGTTCAAAAAGACCTCCAATCAACATACCAAGAAGGCACCAAGAGGCTCTCTAGACGATCCAAGGGGGCCACGAGCCACCGAAAGATCGATCGAAAATGCCCACGATCGCCTCCAAGACGGCCCGAGAGGCCCCCCATACACCCCAAGAAGCCCTCATGAGGCGCCCCCGGACGGCGTTCAAAGAGCAACAATCGCCCCGACCCCATCGGAAAAAGAGCAGTTTGAGCACACTCGTTTTTTGTGTGCGTTCGCAACGTCCAGGACAGCCCAAGAAGTCTCCTGGATCGCCCTATAAGATGGCCCCCCAAAAGTCAGGAGGGAAAGAAACACACAGACACAATTAATCGTCGATCCCCCGGAAAACATTGGAAAATATGGGAAGTGGGGGGGAAGACAAAAAGCCAGAAAATATGGGAAAATATGGGGGATCATTTTATTTGTGTATTTATTTGTGTGTCCTTGGGCCCCTTGAAAAAGGGCTCCCGTACGGAGCCCGCACGAACACCCCGAGCCTTCGACCCAAGCCGCCCCCCCCGCTGCCCCGAGAAGCCCCCCAAACGCGCCGCAGCCGGGCACGGTGGCGGCATGTGCCGCAGGCCATTCGATCCGCCGCCCCCTGCTGATTCATCCCAATCAAGGGGCCCAAGGACACACAAACACATACACACAAACAAAATGATTCCCCAGATTTTCCCATATGTTCTGGGTTTTTGTCTTCCCGCCCAATTCCCATATTTTCCCATATTTTCTAGGGAATCGAGGATTAATTGTGTCTGTGTGTTTTTTCCTCTCCTGACACAAGGGTGCCTGGCGTGCTAGATGAGTTCGGTCTTGGTTTTGGTTCTTTACAAAAGTACTCAACTCCCCCTGGGGCACCGGCGCGTCCCGCCGGGGTCCCGGGAGGGAGCTCCAGGCCAGCAAACGACCTCAACGTCAGCAAAACATTCTCCAAGACGGCTCGAGATGGCCTCCAAGACGGCCAAGATGGCCCTCAAGCTCGCCCAAGATGGTCCAAGATAGCCTCCAAGTCCGCCCAAGAGAGGAGGAGATGCCTCCAAGTCCGCCCAAGAAACCTCCACGACGGCCCAAGACGGCCCAAGAGGTGCCCAAGAGGCCTCCAAGACGACCCAAGAGGCCTCCGAGAGGTCCTCCAGGAGGCCCGAAGAGGCAAACATTATTGATTTTGCTTAGGTTTTCTCAAAGGTTGGTCGTATTTGCTCCTTTTCGGCTTTCCGACGCCCCAAGACAGCCCAAGAGGCCCCCAAGATCGCCCCCACAGCGCCCAAGAGGCCTCCAAGATGGCCTCAGGACTGCCCAAGAGGCCCCAAGACGGCCCTCAGAGGGCACACAGACGACCCAAGATGGCTTCTAAGACGGCCCTGGGGCACCCCAAGAGGGCCCCAAGTCGGCCCAGAGAGGCCCCCCAAACGGCTTCCGACGGCGTCAGACGGGCCAGGAGCCCACCAAGATGGCCGAAGTTGGCTCGAAGCTGGCCCAAGACGGCCCAAGAGGCCTCCAAGAGGGCCCCCTGGAAGGCCAGAAAAGGCAAAAAACATTGATTGTCCTTTGGTTTTTGAAGAATTTTGACATTTGCTTCTTTTCGGCCATCCGAGGGCCCGATGCGGCCCAAGCGCCCCCAAAGATTGCCTAAGAGACCTCCAAGATAGCCCCAGAACGGCCCAAGAGGCCCCCAAGACGGCCCCAAGAGGCCTCCAAGACGGCCCAGGAGGCTTTTAAGACGCCCAAGATGGCCTCCAAGACGGCCCTGGATCATTCCAAGAGGCCCCAAAGTCCGCCCAGAGGGGCCCCCCAAACGGCGTCCGACGGCGCCAGATGGGCCGGGAGCCCACCAAAATGGCTGACGATAGCCCTAAGCTGGCCCAAGACGGCCCAAGAGGCGTCCAAGAGTGCCTCCAGGAAGGGCCGAAAAAGCCAAAATCATTGATTTCCCATGAGTTGTTGAAGGATTGCGGCAATTGCTTTTTCCGGCCTTCCGACGGCCCGAGACGGCCCAAGTGCCCCCAAAGATCGCCCAAGAGAACCACGACGGCCCCCAGAGGCCCCCCCCAAGACGGCCCAAGAGGCCTCCAAGACGCTCAAGATGGCCTCCAAGACGGCCCAAGAGCCCTCCAAGACGTCAAGGGTCAAAATGGCCTCCAGACGGCCAAGATGACTTTCAAGATGCCCACGTGTTCCCCGAAGGCTTTCCAAACCGATTCGGAGAGCACATGGTCCCATAGCTTGGCAGGTCTGGCCGTAAACGTTCGGCTACATAGGCGCTCCCAAAAAGGCAGGGGGCGGCGGTGATTCGCCGCAGGCGCCTTAGATAACCATGGTTGTGGTATCCTTAGGTCGGACATGTCCCCCTACAGGGAGATTTGGATGACAAATCAAAAATACCACAAGAAATCTTCAAACATATCAAAAAATGCGAATTAAAAAGGTCACCCGACTATGTTTGACTATTTTTGAAAAAGCCCCCGCGGTAAAGGGACAGACCCGACTTAACCCAAGAGGTCCCCAACACGCCGCAGCCCAGGCGTGGCGGAATGTGCCGAAGGCCATTCGATAATCATGGTTGCGGTATTTCGACATCTGAGCAGGAACCGACAGACCCAGCATTCCTATAGGCCTAGCACGACATTTCCATAGAGCCCAAAGAAGTTCAGAGAACAAAAGCCATGTTCTTAGAAGAGGAGCCCGATGTGCTAAAACAAAACAGACTTTGCCATACTTGTTCTCATAACATTTCGCGCAGGCCACGAAATGTTGTGAGAACATTATTTGGTAGGCCTAGGCAAACCAGGATGAGTCGCCGCTGCTTGGGACATATGCCCGCCGTTGGTACACGTGGGCTTTCTCCTGTCTCCTATGCGTGCGCAATGACCACTGAGAAGGGCAGCCGCAGAATAGATTCACTACTGCCCGTGCGGGCTGCGCCGCGATTCCTGTGGGCCCTGCGGGAATCATTCGAGGGCACGCGGCCGCTTGTCCAGGAGGGCCCCGACACGGCCCACATCTCGCTTCCAGACGCCCCCGACGGCTCCAAAGCGTATTTTGACAGATGCCCACCGCATGTCCCTTTCAACCACCTCCCCGACAAGCTTCTCCTGAGCATCACCCCGACCAAGCTTTCAAAACGAGTGTAGCTCCTGCAGAAAAAAAGATTCGCCCTTGCTCCGTCTTCATAGACACCCGCCCACTCGACCGACGGCCGACCCGCGTCAAAGACAACCACCCCAACCATCCTGGTCATAACGGTACGTACGAGACCAAATGCATGTTGCGACATGTCCTGGATCATCTTCGGGCGTCCCGCCCTCACTGTGCCTTGGTATGTAACACGACGGCAGGGGGCATCACATTACCCTGTGTGCGCAGGCCACACTGCAACGTGAACGTGGCGGCAATATCCCCTGACCCTCCGGAGTGTCCTCAGCGTGCGAGATGCTCACGCCTCCCCCGACACCTCCCCCCATACCCTGGTCTGGTCGATTTGGAGAGAGGGGGGTCCGCCCGGATCCCTCGGGCCTGGCCCCAAATTCTGGGAGGATAGAGGCCCCAACAACGAGCCCAGAGGGCCCCAAGAGGCCCCCAAGACAGTCCAAGGGGGCCCCCAGTCGCCGAAAGTTCCTCCAGGACGGCGACGTAGCCGTAGCCTCCTGACGGACCAAGACGCCCCCAAACGCCCTCAGAAACCTCCTAGAGCCCTCCCAAAAGGGGGGAGGCAACACTCATCGATTTTCAATCTTCTCGGTTCCCCAATGCTCCTCGGCGGCCCAAGAGGCTCCCAAGATCCCCCCCGGACGGCACCAGAGGCTTCCAAGGCGGCCCCTGAGCAAACAAAGAGGGCCCCCACACAGCCCCACAGACGGCCTTCCAGAAGCTCCAAGGGGCACCCCATAGGCCCCCATGCGGCGCTCAAAAGGGCACCGAGAGGCCCCCGAAAGGTGCCCAGGATGCCCTCACAAGCAGCACACCACGACCGCCCGCTCCCCAAGGGGTCAGCGGTGCGGCGTACAATAGGAGCTCGACCACAAGAGACCTGCCACAAGAATCCCAACCCTTAGACCCCAGGACGTTCTGGCATTCTGGCTGGCGCCCTGGCAAGATTCAGGATCGTCCAAACGCAAGAGTCAGGTTGGTCCGTGGCGTTGGAATCCCGAGACCAATGCTTTAGCATGCCTCAGGGTCTCCAAACGGTTGTCTTCCAACGAGGCAGTTCCCTCAATGAGAATGAACCGTTGTAGGGGCCTACGAAGAGGGAGCTTGGAGGGAGGGCTTACTCCAACGTCGTTGGTGACTCTTGGGTTTACACCCGCTCCCTCCTCCCCCTCCCTCCTTTCCCTCCTCCTCCCCCTCCTCCTCCAACTCCTTGGTCGGTCGAATCATCACGGCGAGAGGAAGGCGTAGCCGTACCCTGCTCCTCCTCCTCCTTCTCCTCCTCCTCCTCCTCGATCCCATCCTCCTGCTCCTTCCCCCACCCCCCTCCTCCGCACCCCTCCTCATCCACCCCCATTCTCCTCCCCTCCTTCTCCTCCGCCTCTCTCCAGAGCCCCCCAGAATCCCGTGGACCGGGAGCAGCCCACCGGAACTACCTCAAGACAAACACATTCCCGCATCCCCACACTTCACCACACCCTCCTTTCCCATCTCCCTCCCCCCTCCACTCTCCCCCTCCTCCTCCTCCTCCTCCTCCTCCTCCTCCTCCTCCTCCTCCTCCTCCTCCTCCTCCTCCTGTTGCCTCTCCCTCATACGTCTCCGCCCCCTCCTCCTCCTGCACCCTCCTCCTGCACCCCTCTCCTCCCCCTCCTCCCTTTCCCCTCCCTCGATTACGACGACGACGACGGCGGCGACGACGACTACAACGACAACGACGAGGACGGGGACGAGGACGAGGACGAGGGCGAGGACGAGCACGAGGACGACGAGGACGACGACGAGGACGAAGACGAGGACGAGGACGAGGACGACGGCGGCGAGCCCCGCCAACAGCCAGCCCGCCTTCGCGCGAGCGCCGCCCAGACCGCCTCGCGGACGAGGCCCGGGGAGGCGGTGGGGCTCCTGCCGAGCAGCTCGATCACCTGGCTGGGGGCGTCGCCGCCGCCGTCCAGATTTATCAAGCCAGCCTGGTCGACGGCGGTGCGGCCGCGGACAACATAGGTCGGGGGCCCCCCGGACGGCGCGCCGCTTGGTGGGTCTGTGGGGATTCGGAGAGACGTTGGGGCGTTCCGAGGACCTCAAGCAGTGCGGTGACAGACCGTGCTGTGAGGTCTTGGCGGATTTTGAGGTCGCCTCGGTTACTCATGTAGGGCCGCCGCGAGGGCGCGAAGTCAATCGCGGCTCGTGCATCGCGATTCCTCAGCCTGATCATCCTCGTGATCCTCTTCTTCTCTGAGGGGGCAGCGCGGGCGCGTGAATTGATTCGCGCCCCGCGCGGCGCGGAGCGCGAACGTAACGGCGCTTGTTCACCCGTTTCTGCGCTGATCTGCGTGGTCCTCCCCCCAGAGTGTGTGAAGTCCCGACGCGGAAGCGGAGGGTGTAAAAGCTCCCGACGCGGAAGCGGAGGGTTGGACGGCGCGGCAGGATGCTCTATGCAGCAAAGGTTTGAGTGGAGCCGTTCGCCAGTTGATCCTGCGATGCGGTGCCGCTTGTGTCGTCGCTCCTCCTCCTCCTCCTCCTCCTCCTCCTCCTCCTCCCTCCTCCTCCTCCTCCTCCTCCTCCTCCTCTCCCTCCTCCTCCTCCTCCTCCTCTCCTCCTCCTCCTCCTCCTCCTCCTCCTCCTCCTCCTCCTCCTCCTCCTCCTCCTCCTCTCCTCCTCCTCATCCTCCTCCTCCTCCCTCCTTCCTCCTCCTCCTCCTCCTCCTCCTCGTCCTCGTCCTCGTCCCTCGTCCTCGTCCTCGTCCTCGTCCTCCCCTCCTCCTCCTCCTCCTCCTCCTCCTCCTCCTCCTCTCCTCCCTCCCTCCCTCCCTCCCTCCCTCCCTTCCCTCCTTCCTTCCTTCCCTCCCTCCACCTCCTCCTCCTCCTCCTCCTCCTCCTCCTCCTCCTCCTCGCTCAGATGACCACACAGCTACTCCACGGACCTCTCCCGGGGGTGCGCGGTGCGCGCTGGCACGGCTTCCGACGCGAGAGCTCCGCCGTGGCGGCG